CTGGTTTTCTATCATTAAGCCAATTTTCTATCCACATTGCTACTGTCCCTTTATTATTATGACCTCAACCATCCTCACAAGACTGTCGTTCAGTATCAAGCACCTCCTAAAAATCCATGTATACCATATCAACAGCATTACCCTGTTTCAGCTTTCCTGTTACCTCTTCAAAAAACTCATTCAGACACAAACTCTTCCTTCACAAATCCAGGCTGACTTCCAAATCAATACACAGACTGACAGTAGGGAACACAGAATGTGCCAGAGCAACAGGATAGAGGAAGGGGGAATGGGGAGGGAAGGGGGAGAGGGTCCCAGAGAGGGAGGGTGGGTATGTGTTGTCTGCATGAACCCTGTGGTCTCTGCACCCTGCAGCCTATGAGTGTTTTCTCTCTGTGGCGGGATGGCAGTGTCTGCAATAACCTTGTGTTTCTCTCTCGCCCTCACAGATATTTGATGGTCCCCGGTTAAAGTTCTCTGAGATTCCCCAGAGACTGACCACCTTGCTGCTCCCTCCAGATCCAATCATCATCAACCACCTCATCAGGTACCAAAGAACCAGCCAATCATGCGGACCCCTCACAGACCCTATCCTAACCCTACCCTCACAGGCCCCACCCCTTACAGCCCCACCTCATGGGCCCCACCCCTCTACAGGCCCCACCCCTACCCCGCCCCCAATCCCCCTCCCTCACAGGCCCCACCTCCAACCCCACCCCCTCACAAATCCCAACCTCATGACACCCAGCCCCAAGAAACACCCCCCCAACAATGCCCCCATCCCAACCACCCCAACACACACACACACACACACAGACACAGACACACACACACACACACAGACACTCACACACAGACAGACACACACACACACACACACACACACACACATATATCCCCAGCACCCCCCAAACTCAGCCCACACCAACATCCCATCTGTCAGAAACAGTCCATCCTGCAGCTGGAATGGGTTCCTCTCCCTGAAAGAAGAGTCTTTTCAGTGAAGTGCCAGTGAGAGTCTGAGCCTTAAAGAGAGAAACACAGGCAGAGAATTCGATAAATCCTACTTCCTGCCTCGACACGGACTCACTCACACGCTCACTCTCTCACACTCACACACGCACACATGCACAAAGGCAAATGGCACGCCTACACACACATGCACACACACACGTTCTCACGCACATGCACAAACGCACCCGTACGCAGTGCGCACCCACACACACCCACATACGCACGTGTGTACACACCCACGTACACACACACGCACACAGACCCAAACACACACAAACACACACTGAGACACACACACACACACACACCCACACACACATGGCCATGTAGGGTTGACACTGAGGTATGCAGTAGCTGACAGTAGTGAATGTCCCAGTTCTGTGTGGTTGACTGTCTCTCACTGTCTGTTGTACAGTGTGGATCCAAACGATCAAAAGAAAACAGCCTGTTATGATATCGATGTGGAGGTCGATGACCCTCTGAAAGGTCAGATGAGCAGTTTCCTGCTCTCTACAGCCAATCAGCAGGAGATTGCTGCACTCGATAACAAGGTATTCCATTTCTTTTAACTTTCGGGATTTGGGATCAGCTGGCTGCTGTGCTTTTGGTGACATCGTTCCTCATCCCCTGCTCAGACAGTAACTTTGAGCCCCAACAATGCAGTGACTGAGACCGGCTCAGAATCGTGTTTCACTCTGTTTGTAATCCTGATCCAGTTCACTGTTTGTGTGTGAACACTGACCCTGACACCATGACAGGGGAACACAGCTGACCCCTAACACAGTCTTCACACAGAGCTCCTACACACCTGACACTCCCCTTCATACACCCGCCTTACACACTCACTTACTCACACACTGCATTCACCCACCCACTCTCTCTCACTCACTCACTGAGCTGTCATTCACTCACACACACGTTCACTCACACACTCACGCTCAATCACTCACACGTTCACTCACACACTCACGCTCACACACTCACACACACGCTCACTCACACACTCACGCTCACTCACGCTCACTCACTCACACACACGTTCACTCACATTCACGCTCACTCACTCACACACACGTTCACTCACACACTCACGCTCACTCACTCACACACACGTTCACTCACA